CCCAGTAAACCTTTCCCTGATTAAAAAAAAATTGCTCACTACACAACTGCATGAGCAATGTCAGGCCTTGTACAAACCATAAGATATATTAAAGAACCAACTGCAGAAGAATAAGAAATACTAGACATAGCTAGTTGCTCTTCCTTAGACACTACACAAGATTTTTTACTTAGATGAAAATGGTTGGCAAGTGAACTGCTAACTGATTTAATATGTTGCATGTTGAATCTACCAAGCACTCGTTCAACATACTTTTTCTGTAACAACCATAGCTTTCCAGCTCTCCTATCTCAGATAATGTTCATACCAATAATCTACTTTGCTGGACCTAAATCTTCACATCAAAGGACTTAGACAATTGTTCTTTCAACCTGCAAACCATACTAGCATCTTATCCTACAATCAATATATCATCAACATATAATAATAAGATAATGAAGTTACCATTAGAGAATTGTTTAACATACACACAAGAATTCACTGTTGTTCTTTTATAGCTAAGACTCACCATAAAAGAATCAAACTTCTTGTACCACTGTTACGGAGCTTGTTTCAAGTCATACAAGCTTTTCTTCAATTTACAAACTAAGTGCTCTTTCCCTTTCACTTCAAAACCCTCAAGCTGATTCATATAAATGTCTTCATTCTAATCACAATGCAAAAATGCAGTTTAACATCAAGTTGCTCAAGCTCAAGATTCAAACTAGCTGCTAATCCCAGTACCACTCGAATAGAACTCATCTTTACAACTGAAGCAAAAATTTCATCAAAATCGATGCATGGTTTTTAAAAAAAATCTTTTACTATCAATCGAGCTTTGTACCTCACTAGTTTGTCACCATTCTTTTTTAACTTGAATACCCATTTATTTTTTAATGGCCTCTTCCCTGTTGAAAGTTTAACAAGATCATAAGTACCATTCTTTCATAATTACTCCATCTCTTCTTTCATTGCTTTTAACCAGTGCTCTATATCCAGAGTTGCCTACACATCTTAAAAGCTTTCTGGCTCTCATTCACTGGTAACTAAAATAAAATCTAAACTTGGATACATGGTAGATGGCCTGCGCTCTCTAGTAGATCTCTTAGGCTGAGACTCTACATCACTTGATGCCGAAGGTAGCTTCGCCTGCTCAACACTCTCAGGTAGAGAGGATTGCTCCCCCTGCTCAAAACTAATTGCATTCTAGCTCATCACCAACTATGGCTGGCTCTTTTCATATCCCCAAGTTCTATTTCTTACTCATTTCACCATCTGTGACTCTTTCTGTGGAATCCTGTCGGTGTTGAAACATCACACTCAACAGTAACTCGTGTAGTCTTCTCATGTTTCTCAAGGTTTGTTATGGTTTTTTTTGAAAGACCACATCTCTGCTTTTGATTATCTTTTTCTTTACTGGATCCCATATCTTGTAACCAAATTCTTCATCACCATATCCTATAAACACACACTGTGTGGCTTTACTGTCAAGTTTTGATCTCTGCTCTTTTGACACATGCATGAATGCTTTACACCCAAAAACTTTCAAGTGAGAGTATGAAATATCTTTTTCTGTCCATACTCTTTCTGAAATGTCAAAGCCTAAAGGAACTGATGGTGACCTGTTAAGTAAATAACAAGCTATGTTGACTGTTTCACCCCAAAATGGTTTTGGTAATTTTACCATCCTTAACATACATTTGACTTTTTTTACAATGGTACGATTCATTCTTTCAGCTATACCATTATGCTACGATGTTCTAGGTTCTGTCATCTTATGCCTGATCCTATGCTTTGAACAATACTCTTCAAAGCCTTTAGATGTGTATTCCCTACCATTATCAGTTCAAATACACTTCAAGGGTAATTCTGTCATCCTTTCAACCATGGCATAAAATTTTTAAAAATACTACAGTACCTAACTTTTGTATTTCAACATATACACCCAAGTCTTACGTAAAGTATTATCAATAAAAGTAATAAAATATCTGCTACCACCTAATGACTTAACCTTAATGGGACCACATACGTCAAAATAAATTAATTCTAATCTATTTTTTTTCTCTAAGAACTTTTACGAAAAGAAGCCCTATGATGCTTACCAAACAAATAATAATCACATAAATCAAGAGACATACCTTTGGTCAAAGGGAATAAGAGACTGCCTTGTTAAAACTTGTAACCCCTTTTCACTCATGTGTGCCAGCCTCTTGTGTCACAAGTTTGCTGAAGCATCATTTTCAACGGCATTTACCTGGTTACCGTTTAATTACATCCATGTCTTATACATTGTGTAGCATAGTTTTCCTCTTACAACTACCATAGATCCTTTGAGAAGCTTTCACTGTCCATTCTTTTATCGACTTTCATATCCCTCCTTATCAAGAACATTAATAGAAAGCAAGTTTATTCTCATATCTGGAATGTGTCTAACATCCCTCAAAGTCAATATGTAATATGTACTAGTTTGTACAATAATATCACCAATCTCAATAATCTGTGACACACTCTTATTTCTTATCTTGGTACAACCAAAGTCTTCTGCTTTGTAAGTTGTAAACAACTCTCTCTTAAGAACACAATGATATGTCGCTCCTGTGTCAACTATCCACTCAATGTCGGGATCACTAATATGATTACAATCATCATGTGTACAAATCAAAGTAACTGAATCACTATCTGAATTCATTACTGTAACATTATCATCATCTGAACTCTTGACTTTCTCATCTTTTTGCTCTTGTTTCAAGATTTTACAGTTTCATTTTATATGACCCATCTTACCACAATAGAAACACTTCACTTTACCTTTAGACTTGGATCTATGTTTAGACTTACCATGGTATTTTGAGTCCTGACCTCTGTCGATGTTTCTATCCCTATTTTCTGTGACCAGAGCTTGATTCCCAAGATCTACATCTTTTCATTTTGCTTCTTCATTAAGCATACTGTCCTTTACCATCTCTAATGTTACCTTATAATCAGGAGCAGAATTAAGAACAGTTACAACTAGAGTATTCCAGCTGTCTGGCAATAAACCCAAAAGAAATAACGCCTTCATTTCATCATCCATCTTAAGCTCTATAGTAGTCATCCGATTACATATATCTTGAAAATCACTTAAGTGCTCTGTAACAGATCGTCCATCCCTGTACTGTAAAGTTGTAAGTTTTTTAACAAGCATAACTTTATTCATACATATTTTTCTCTCATACAATGCTGCCAATTTTTTCCAAACAATGTGAGCATTTGACTTCTGCGCTACATGATGAAACACGTTGATATCAATCCATTTTTTGATTGTAGCTAGCGTCTTTCTACCTAGCTTCTTTCAGCTTTCATCTTTCATATCTGCTGGTTTAGCCAAATCACTCAATACTAACTCATACAAATCTTTACAGTATAGATGATCCTCCATCATAGGCTTCTAAATTGAATAATTCGATGCTGTCAATTTTATCATAGAACCTGTATCACCCTCCATGATCTCAAACAAAATTTACTTTTATCCTGGGTTGCTTCTGTATCGATGTCTCAAAATAACCCTCGCTCTAATATAACTTGTTGCACCTGAAGCAATAATCATAACAATACAAAAGCAATAGACAACAATCAATAATAAAAAACACAGGAAAGATAAAGCATACCAAGATTTACGTGAAAAATCCTCCAGTGTAGAGATAAAATATCACGGACCACCAAAAAAATCTTCACTATCAAATAATAGGTATACAAAGTTCTTCTCTAGCTAAAACTAGAGCTAATCAACAATTAGAGAAGCAATTAGAGAAATCTCACTAAATAAGTAACTCAACAAATACACCCTGGATTTATTCCTAGAGAGCTTCAAACCCGATCTTCACCGTTCAAAATGTAAAACTCTGAATCATAACCTCCTGACAAGGTTTCAACTTAATCGGACCACGGATCGACTTTCGTTCAACCAACTCTCCCTTCTCCTTTTTCTCTCTACTTTTTTTGGCTTTTCTTCTTTCTCTGCTTGGTTTTCGACACACCCTTAAAACAACCCCACCTCTTTTTTATTAAGTAGTTAGGGCTCTGTGTAAAATGAAAGATCAAGGCCCATGGCCTTTACTTAGTCCAAAACCACTTACATGAGGTTGGACCCCATTTTCCTAACAGTTTGAGCCTGTCAAGATTCTAATACCCAATTTGCTTGGAGGTAGAAGGCAAAACAAAACTAGCCCAACACTTTTATATTTAAATATATATCGTTTAAATTATACAACTAGAGTTTATATACAATTTAATACGAAATAATAAAATTATAATTACTTAAATTAATATCGTTCAATTATGCAAAAAAATTATTACATTTTTTATTACATCAGTTGTAGATTAATCAATCAAAATACAACATGTCATTAAAATTTATAAATTCTCTCCTTATAATTTTAAAAGAATTTTTTTTCATGGCTTATACGAGGGGTTAGTTCCATTGCTTGTTGGATATAAAAAAAGAAAAGTTTGGTGATACTATATGAATCATACTAAGTACAATCAAATCGAGCATTGAAATCTTGTTTTAAAAATTTAATTTTAATTTAATTGATTCATATAAATATTTTTAAAATATGATATTGGTAATTTAAAATTCAAATCTTAATATCTTAATTATGAATTGTGAAAATTATACTAATATTTGGTGATTAAAGTTGTATTGAAAGTTAACGGATAAAAATAATTATGTTAACTATGAAAGATAAACTGAAATTTTAATTTGCAAAATTAAGCATTTTACTCTCATAGATTTTTATATAAACCACTTTTTAAATTTGAATTAATATTCTTGTTTCGACAAATTTCTTAATTTTAGGATCCATACATATATTAAAAAAGTAATAACTATAGCAAAAAAAAAAAAGAAAGGAAAAAAGAGTCTTAGCTTCTCTAGATTTTTTGTAGTTTTTTTTTTCTATATTTTCATTTTTATTTATATTTTTCTCTTTCTAAGACTTAAAGAGTTAATTGTTTGGCCGTGGAACTTACTTCATAGATTTGGTGGACTTGACTTACTAGTCAAGTCTTTTTTGTTCTTCTTTCTAGAATTGTAGAATTTAAATGGACCATAAATGCTTTCCGTGGAAAATTCAAGTTGGAAATTGGATTTTCTGGAAATTTTTAACTCCATATACTTGGTTGACTTGACTTGAGTTGACCTCCTTGTCAAGTTCTTTTGATGTTCTTTCTACACGCCGAATTTCATTCATACATATGAATGCTTTCTGTGGAAAATTCAAGTTGGAAATTTAAATTGGAGTCTTCGAAGAAATTTCCTAATGCTTGATGTGGTAGAAAACATTTTTCTTTAACTTTATATATTAGGTGTTGGTAGCAATGATCAGTACGCAACCATGAAAGCAGTTACAATTTCCTTGTTTGGGTTTCTTCTTGTCATCGCAGCCGCTATTATTAGCTTTTGTGATGGGAATTCCAAAGTGCTTTGCATTGGAAGTGAGGGGCAAGCCCTTTTGACGTTCAAGCAAGACCTCATTGATCGATCAAACAGGCTATCTTCTTGGGTTGAAGGTGAGGATTGCTGTGAATGGCATGGTGTTTTCTGCAATATCCTGACTGGCCATGTTAAAGAGCTGCATTTGGGGCTTCTTTCAACTAGTCCTGATGCTTATGCACCGGCTGCTGAATGGGATGCTTACTTTCGATCAAAGTTAGGAGGCAAAATAAATCCATCTTTGGTCGATTTGAAACATCTCAGTTTCCTAGACTTAAGTAATAATGAATTTGGAGGCCTGGCAATTCCCGAATTCATTGGTTCGATGAAGAGTTTGACGTATCTTAACCTCTCTTGGGCAAATTTCGTAGGAGCAATTCCCCATAATCTTGGAAATCTCTCAAAACTGCATTATCTTGATCTTGGAATCAATTCCTTATTTGAAGCTAAAACTCTTCAATGGGTTTCTGGTCTTTCATCTCTGCAGTATCTTGGTTTGAGCCTTGCAAATCTTAGTAAAGCAACTGATTGGCTGCAGGCAACACACAATCTTCCTTCTTTGGTGGAGTTACACTTGTCAGGATGCTCTCTAAATAATGGTCCATCTCCAATCAGTGTTAATTACACATCTCTTGCTGTTCTTGATCTTTCTCAAAACATGTTGTCTTCGGTGACATGGATATTCAATCTTCGTAGTCTTGTGTCCATTGATCTTAGCTCTAGTGGAGTTGAAGGTATGATTCCCAGTGGCTTTCAAAACATGTCTTCTCTCAAATTTCTTGATCTTAGTTGGAATTCATTCTCTTCATCATCGACACTCAACTGGTTGTCTGATTTAAACCAACTTCAATTCCTTAGTCTTAACAGTGTCGGCCTGCAAGGTAATTTTTCAAGTGCCATTGGAAACTTAAGCTCTCTTACTCATCTTGATTTTTCAAATAACCAGCTTGAGATTGAACCCAAATATTTGGAAAGTCTTTGCAATATGAGGGAGATGGATTTGTCAAATAATACAATTAATCATGAGGTCTCAGAAATCATAGAGAGTTTGTCTAGATGTAGTTTGGATCGATTAGAGTCATTAAATATTGCATCTAACAAACTTTCTGGCAATTTCCCTGATCAACTTGGCCAATTTAAAAATTTGGCATACCTTTCCCTTTTACCGAAACTCCATTTCTGGTCCCATTCCATTCTCAATAGGGGAGTTGTCATCATTGAAAGTTCTTGATATTTCATACAATCGATTGAATGCAACTCTTCCTCAAATTTTAGGACAACTTGGGAATTTGGAACATTTAGACGTTAGCAATAATATGTTGGAAGGAAATATATCAGAAACGCACTTTTCTAATCTCACGATATTGAGATCTTTTTGGGCATCTAACAACATGTTAACGTTTATACCAAACCCAAGTTGGATTCCTCCTTTTCACTGTGAAGGTATTGGACTAGGTAACTGGCGTCTTGGTCGGCAATTTCCTCAGTGGCTACAATTCCAAAGGAACATGTATAGTTTAGATATCTCCCATGCTGGAATTTCAGGTGTCATTCCCACTTGGTTTTGGAACCTTTCGACTTCATTTGAATATCTAAACCTTTCCCATAACCAATTAGTCGGGGAGTTTTCATATTTACCGATAAGTTGGATTGCTGACTTGAGTTCCAACCTATTCACAGGTCCATTGCCACAGGCAATATTCTCAGATTTGGGGGATTTATTTTTGTCCAAGAACTTTTTTTCAGGATCACTTTTTAATTTTCTTTGTAATTCCTCAAATAACCTGAAAGTTTTGAACATTCTTCACGTTGAATCAAATCTTCTGTCAGGTGAAATTCCAGATTGTTGGGAAAATATGCCAATGTTGGAAGTCCTAAATTTAGGAAACAACAGTCTAACTGGGAAAATTCCTAGATCCTTGGGATCTATGCGTCTTATTGAGTCATTAAGCCTTCGTAACAATAACCTGTTTGGAGAAGTACCATCCATATTGCAGCATTTAGTTAATATGCTTGTTCTTGATCTTAGTGAAAATCAATTGACGGGAAGTATTCCAGCATGGATTGGAGACAAGCTCTCAAACCTTGTGATTCTAACCTCCGTTCAAATAACTTTCAAGGACTATATTCCTGATCAGATTTGTGCTCTTAATTCTCTTCATGTCTTGGATCTTGGTTATAACAACATTTCAGGAGCTATTCCAAAATGTTTTAGTAACCTAAGTGCCATGGCCACAAACCTCAACCCACACGTGGCTAATTGGTTCTCGAGATTCTACCCTGACAACTCGTTTCATTTTAGTGCATTATTGGTGATGAAAGGAAGAGTGGATGAATACAGTACCACACTCGGACTTGTTACCGGCATAGACCTTTCAGTTAACAGTCTCACAGGAGAGATCCCCAAAGAACTTGGTCATCTCATGGGACTGTTGTCATTAAATTTGTCAGGGAATCTCCTAACTGGAAAGATACCAGAGACATTGGTAATATGGAGATGTTGGAATCTCTTGACTTGTCGATGAACCGACTCCATGGTGAAATCCCTTCAAGTTTTTCCAATTTGAATTTCTTGAATCACTTCAACTTGTCCTACAACAACTTGACAGGACAAATCCCATCAAGCACCCAACTCCAAAGCTTCGACAATTCTTCTTACGTTGGCAATCATCTTTGCGGACCTCCAGTCACTAAAAATTGCAACAAAAATGGCGGAACGCCCGATGTTACAAATGGGGGTAGTAGTGGAGGAAAGAAAATATCTGAGGTGAATTGGCTTTATGTGAGCATAGTGCTTGGATTTGTGATGGGGTTTTGGGGAGTCGTGGCTCCCCTATTTTTAATCAGGTCTTGGAGGTTTGCTTATTATAAAAAATTGGAGCAAATTGGTGACAAGCTGTACGTGTTTTGGGCTACTATTGGTATGTAATTATTTGTAATGGTAGCTAACTTCGGTGTGTTTGGTAATGTAATAATTTGATTTGCATGCTCTTTACTTAATCCATGTATTCTGATTTGGAAGTGATATTTCATGTTATAATTTATTAAAATGAAATAAAATTATGTGTGCTAATGTATTTGACTCATAAATATGTGTTGGAGTTTTATTCAATATGAGTTGGGTGCTTTTTTTTATAAATCCTCTTATTTGAAATATTTCTTATTCTAGTCATATTTATGATTTGATTTGTTGTTCAAAATTAAAATTCCAAAAACTAAAATTTTTATTAATCCAAAGGAACTGAAAGCTTTTATTGCAATTATATAGAAATTAGAGAGTGTCGTTTTACAAGGGAAAACAATTTTTTTCGTAGTTTTCTTTCTCTTTTTCTAAAGGTTTTTAAAATGTTTATAATTTAAAATAAATTGAAAAAACGTCATAGATTTGATCAAATCGTTTATAAATTTAAAAATAAAAAATAAAAGTTCACATCATCGCACAAAAAAAGCCAACAACAAAAACGTATTCATAATATATTAATTATTTTTAGTTTTGATATATTTATAAGATTCAAATGTTCATAATTTAAAATAAATTGAAAAAAGGTCATAGATTTGATCAAATAGTTTAAAAATTTAAAAATAAAAAATGAAAGTTCACTTCATAGAAAAAAACAAACCAACAACAAAAACGTAATCATCGTATATTAATTATTTTTAATTTTGATATATTTATAAGATTCAACATGTGAGTATTTTTTTTTTGTATTAAAAATAATTATAAATATATTAAAAACAATGAAAAATAACTTATCCTAAAGTAGTGAGGGTTCAAATTCTAGTAATGGATAAAAACATAAAAAATATTGACCGATTTATATATATGAACAATCATATTTTTGAACAATAACATATTAGAGACCATATTAATTATATATCATTGTCAATTTTATTAATTGTGTAATCAAAATGTGGTCAGAGAAAGGGGAGAAAATGATAGCTATGATCAATTTTTTCTTTTTTTTTTTTTTTTATGGATTTGAAGTCCTTTTCTACTACATTGGTTTGGGTATTAAGGTGAAAAATATTGAAAAAATTAAAAATCAATTTAAAATAATAGTTTTGATTTGGTTTATATTGATTTTTTTTTAATTCAGCTTGAATATTAAATAAATATATATATATATATATTAGGTTAGGATCCAATTTTAAATCAAAAAATAAAAAACAAAAAAAATCGAATAGAACAAAATTATATATTTTTTAATTTTTATAAAATAAAAATAATAATTGTATATGAAAATATATTTAAATATATAAAATTTTATATGAAATAATATATATAAATAATTAAATTTTAAAATTTGATAAATTGAACTGAATTAAATTAATAAAATTCGATTTGATTCAAATTAAATTGTACAAAAGATCAGTTCGAATTTAGATTAAATTTTGAAAATTTTTAATATTATATAATATTTGAAAAATTGAACCAAATTTGATTTGATCCAAATTATTATCACTTCTAATCGATGAGGAGGTATTGAAGAATAAGGCCCTCTTCTTTAAAAATACTGGAGATTACACTTTCAGCCTCCTCTGACACCACTTCTTTCATCACCTAAGCTGATCCCAAAGGAGGATGGTGGCGGCGGTGATGGTGGCAGTTGTAGTAGCCATATCTTTGGAATTGGTGCAGTTTGAACTTTTCTATAATGGCCGCTGGTGGTGGATATATGGTGTTCGATGGAAACCCTGTGGATTTCAACCGTGTGACAGCTTGCAAAGCCATTCTTTCACGGTGGATTTGATGAAAATGCAGCAGAATATCCCTGCCGTAACACATTCTAGCACTGATTCCATCAATAACTACTAAGAGCAACGGAGTTACAATCATGGATAAGGATGCTTTCATTCTGATTGTGGAAGCCTATTACCATTTTGGCTCTTATATATATAGGAATAGATGGATCTTTTTAATTAAATTGTAAATTATTAAGCTTAATTAGAATGTTCTTAATATTTTTGTTATGGCTGAGCTCCGACCTTGGGGTGTTTTTGGAAAGGCAATGGGGAAGAAAAGGACGGTTAGAGGCAAATGTAAGATAAATTTCTTGCGTTTGCACTCTGACACATATGTCAAAAAGATTCACGTTGGAAATGAAGTGGGAATGAGAGAAAATGAAGTAGTATCAAGCTGTCTTAACGATGCTAGGACCTTCATATTTATAAGTAAATTATGATGGATCATTAGAGGATAATAAGAATAATACTGAGCTGATGTGACATTGAACGTATCAGATTAATTTGATATATTAAATTAGTACAAAATGATAAAAGTATCTCTAATTATTTACTGAAAGCTTCAAAGAAAAAAAAAAAAACCATTATACCTCTTGACCATCAAATGCTCCTAACGATTTTCTTCAAAATTGATAACTAATTATTTTATGATGTCAAGTGTTGATTCAATTACGTGGTAAGCATAATTCATATCTATTAAATAATGTGTATCTTGTAGAAGATAGAAGAGATGACTTTAATAGCTTTTTTTATTAATCTATTAGCAAAGTTAACATTTCTTATGTTCAATCTCAAACAGCTTTTACAGGGGAGATACTTCTAGGGAGTGCTGCCGTTGCCAACTATACTTTTGAGCAAAACTTAACTATAGGCCTCGGAGAAGAATAAAAATGAAAAACGAAAACTTACAACTTAATTTAGTTAATTTATATAATCATTTTTAAAATATAATATTCAAATCTTATCATCTACAACCTATTTTTTTATACATAAATTACGACTTCTATATGTATAAAAAAAACACGGAAAATGAGAAATAGTTTGAGCTAATTAAATTTTAGGTTTTTGTTATATGTTTATATATTTTTTTTTCTTTTTTCTTAAACAAAGAAGGAAGGGAAACATGTTTGAAAGTCTACCCCTAATACATAGGGTATTTCCACCTCTAGATAATACATTCCATACTTTTTTAAGACATGTTGGTGTTAATTATTTCTCCTTTCCTATCCTAAGTTCTCCAATTGGTCATTGTTTGAAAACCCCATTAGTCAAATTGCCAACTGTTAATTGGTTGGATGCCAAGGAATCATGATTTTACTTTCTTCGCTAATTTTGGGTTTTAATGGCTGAATTATATAAGGTAGTAGATGATGATAAAGTGTTAAACTCTTATTTTCAATTATTAAAATTTAATTTTTGATAATTTCAATTAAAAAAAACACATGGAAGAAGTTAATTACTTATGGAAGTGGAAGTGGAATTGAATGGATGTATCTTTTCCATTTCATTTCTATAAAAAATTGAATCTCCGTTTGTTGACCCTTTCGTGATGGGCCTATTAACATTACACGTAAAGTTTATATCATGTGATAGATGTGATGGAAGTGTTGAAGTGGTCTGGACCATTCTAAACACATAAATATAAGATCTTTCCAAAATATCAGATTGAAAGTTTAATATTCGAAAGTTCAATTCTAATCTAACCATTTTTTATTGGAGCCTTTGGAAACTTCAATTCCATTTAAGTTTTTCATTATTTCATTGATTATAAAGATAAAGGTATTTGTTTCTTTGACCAACAGCAATCAGCCAATCACACTGCTGAAAACATTTTATATATAAAGTCCAAATAGCAGATATTACCAGGAAAACATTAAAAAAAAATCGAAGATTTAACAATTACACAAAACTATTCATCAGGTAGAGGAAAAATTAAAAATATAATAATAAAAAGGTAATGTGTGGAATTCATGAATTATAAGGTGGTGTTGGTGGGTGGTGGAAGCAGCAGCAGAACTCTTGAACAGTCAGACGGTGCTGGAGGAACAGACATATGAACGGGTCCGCTCGGCATTGGGGAAGGCCTTTTGATTGGGATTGGTTTCCCAGTTTTTCTGCCACAACAATCATATAGACTGGATTTTTACGATCACCTCCCTTAAGTTCTAGAATATAACTCAGAAAATTTGAAAGCATCAAAATAATGCATTTTTTATTAATTTTTTCTGTTCATTGTGGATTGAGACATGGCTCTAATTGAAGTTTGAAATCATATACAGTTCAATGCCATGCATGAGAATTATAAACTACGAAAAATTCAGAAGATTATAAGCATTTCTGTTACAGGGCATTTGCACATGCTGGTTTTGAAGGAAAAAGTGGTTCATCTACAATCAAGCAACCCTGAATATGAAGAGTAGTTTTATATTGTTCTAATAGTTTTACTACTTTCAATTTGGTAGCTTTGAGAGGGCAGTTGA